ACCTCCTTCCAGGGCCCCACCCTCGGGGTCTTCTCTGGTCCTTTCTCACCCAGTTGCACGTGCTTCATACTCACCCTTTTCCCAACACTGAGATATTCTCACCTCAGTCAAATTCACATTTATCACTAAACCCAGATGTCTGTCCTCTCTCTCCCTAGGAATTGATGTGCTGAGAAATCGAGCTGATAGACATAAAAGTGCTTTGAAAGCTAAGCCGCAACACAGACCTAAGTACCAAAGCTACTATCAACATATCAATTCAATCACTGACTCAGCCAAGGGACAAACCATTAATCAATACTAGGTTCTGTGGGGTTGAGGGCATGTCTTCCTGTACAGAATGGCCGCATCCCTAAAGGGCTTTGTGGACAAGTTGGTGGTAGAGGGTTAAAGAGGGAAGAAAGCAGGCATTCATTTATTGAGTGCTTATCGCGTGGTATGCACTGTGCTGCCTGCTTTTCCTTACAATGTCTCATAATTCTTGCACCAGTCTAGGAGGTCAGAACAATTTTCCTTGGTGTACAGATGGAATGCCCTCCCCCAACCCCTGTCTGTTCAAGCACAGTGCAACACAATAGCTAACAGCCTTGGATCAGGACTCAAATTGCTTGAATTTGTATCCAGGCAATGCCAATTACTTTCTGTATGACTGAGCAAATTACTCAGATTCTCTGTGCTTCAGCTGTAAAATTGGGATGATAAAAATGGTACCAATTTTATGTTTTGTTGTGAGGATAAGGTGACCATACATACTTGCCACAGTTGTCCGGCCCAGAGTAAGCACTAGATAAAACTTAGGTATTATTATTATTTTCCAGCTCCAGTCCCTTTTTATCTGCAAAGCCTTCCCAGAGCCCCCATCAGAACTGATCTCTTCCACTTCTATATCCTCACGTCACTGTGAGCGTGCCTCTCAGCACATTCGTATGTGTACCTGGTTCTTAATGTTTGGCACAGAAAAAACATTCAACAAATGCTGATGTTGGGTGAATGGATGTTTCTGTCCCATAGAACTTACCACATGCTTGTAGAAGGCAAGTAGTATAGTGTTTCTTGCTATAAAGCAGACGAAATCCCTGGATATTCTAAATAAAATACAACAAATATACTTTTGAATGTATGGCCAAACTCTCATGTAAATTAGGAAACCCTCATGGATACACACACACACACACACACCGAGGGACTGGAATTCAGAGTGGTAAGTTGCCACTGACACTGCTACTTTGGGAAGTCTGTCTGTCTCAGTGACTTTGAGGTTTGGTGTCAGGGGCTTTACAGAGGACAGGAGACAAGGCTTAGTGCCCTCAAAAGATGGAGAGTTGGAAGTGAGACTTCTGCACAGAAGTGAGACTCACAAAGGATGCTACTCAATGAAAGGGGAGACTATAAAAAAAAACCTGCCTATTTGCAATGAGGAAAACCAAAAACTTGTCTATCTTGGCGTGGGCTCAAAAGATCACAGACTTCCCCCCCCTCCCCACAGGTTTAAGGTTTGAATTTATACTATCTACTTGGTCTTGGAACTTCAGCTAAAAATTAGTTTAAATTAGTCCCAGGTTGGTAACATTCCAGAGCACCTGGCATCATCTCTGGAGGGATAGCCACCCAGGCTTCACTGGAGTCTAACAAATAAAGCCCCACTGAACATGAGATCACAATCTAAAATTACAAACCACATGAGGAAACAAGCTACCATGAGTGAAGGCCACTAGGAACCACAGAATTAGACATTACATAAAAGTTATCATATATGAAATATAAATTGTTTAAAATGTTTAAAGAAATAAAAAGGGGAAAGAAAAACATGAGAAAAGAATAAATAAAATCTATAAAGATCAGGCAGAATTGAGAAAGAACAAAATATTACTTCTGGAAATAACAAATATTTAATTTATTAAAGTTAGAAACATGGTGAATAAATAAAAGTAGGGTAGATACAGGTAAAAGAGAGAACTAGGGAACTGGAAGACGAATCTGAAGAAATTGCTCAGGGTACAGCCAAAAAAAAAGAGAGGCAAAGAAATAGAAAACAAGATGTTAAAGGGGTCAGGAAGAAAAAATAGAATATGAGAAAGGCAGCATTTAGAAAAATGGCTAAAAAGTTCCCAGAGTTAAGGGCAAAAAATAGGACTTGTTTAATCTTTGAAATCTAAAGCCCCTGGCAAGTGCCTGGTACATAGTAGATGCCCAGGAAGTTTGTTGAGTTGAACTGACACATGTGCTATAGAATTTGCTTGTCCATTACTT